ACTAGGGAGCCTGAAAACAGAAGGATCACTGCAAGTCCGAGCTGTGGAGTGAGACCCTGGACCAAATACATAAAAAGAAATAATTTAATTAATTAATTAAAATAAAAAAGAAAGTTTAGAAGGAAAGCTGAAGGAAAAAGGAAGATTACCAAAGCTTTGGGAAACTGAAGAAGGCGAGAGGGGAGAAAAGAAGGAAAAAAATGAACTAAACAAAACAACCAAATACAATGTTCACACTCTTGACAAAACAAAATCAAGAAAAAAGAAACATTTCTCTGTGATTGCAAGCCTGTAGTTATTTTCCGTGGCTCACAGTGCAGGACAGTGTCCAGTTCAGAGTGTCTCTGTCATCACTGGTATACAGAGGAAGCAGGCGGAGCCAGACCTAAGCAGGCTGATCCCAGCAAGCCCGCAATAGAAACAGTGCAGGGTTCCCAGCCTGGTGCTTTCAAGCCCACATAAGTTCAGGCTGGTCCTGGCCTCTGATTGCAGAGCTGGGACCCGAGTTATTCAGTCCACAATGCTGTTTCCTGCCAGCCTGACTTCAGCTCCCTGACCTTGGATGTCTCCCACAGTCACGTCTCACCCAGCCACCGGGAGGCCTCAAGGAAGCCTACCCAGGCTGCTCTGAGCCCCAGGTTCGGCGGGCCAACTCCTAAAATGCCATCTGGCTATGCACCCTCTCCAGGGGATTCTTCAACTGAAGTCACCCACCAGTTGTTGCAACTCGCAGCGTCCACAGCTCCATTCCACAAGTGCTTCTCCTTAAAGGGCTCTGGAGTCACTTGCCCTCACTGTCTCTGTAGACCCAAGCCACCATGCCATGAGCTGAGTGTCAGGGAAAATGCACAATTTGCCACCTTGCTTTTCTGCATTAAGTCTGTCTCTTCACTTTCCCTGTGAGCTCCAGTTCTCCCTTAAATCCTTCCTGGGTCCTGGGGCTCCACCTCCTTCCCTCTTCTCTTCCCCAAGTTGGTTTTTTTTTTTTTAAAGTATTTATTTACTAATTAAAACATTTGTAAAACAATGACCTTCATATATGTTCTCTCTTAACGCTATCTTCTCAAGTTTACTTGTTGACGGCAGTAGCATGAAAGCTTTCTCACCCAGGTGCCATTCATATGACTCCTCTCTTCCATGTGCTCTCACATATCTATCATGGTGATTACATGGCAGGCTGTTCCACACAACATGAGATTTCTTTCTCTTGTGCATATTTTCTCATGTTTAGTAAGGTGACATAGCCAAGTTAAGGACTTC